AGATCTTGCTCGGAGTATGAAGTAATAATATATTTTCATGTAACAACACTTGTTGGTCTCCTTCTCAAATTTTCGTCCTAACGAAACGACAGTTTTCTCGAAGGCAACCGGAATATAAGTAGACGTGATGTGACTTCGTCATCGGTTGCCCGTCCTCAAACCAGTATTTTGTACTACTTTAGGATGCACCTGGTGCAACCGAATCAGACGGAAAGGACGATACTGATGCGATGGCATGAGGATCCCTTTCCTTCTTCCAATTTTCCACTTTTCATCGCTTCATTTTTATTTTTTTGTTATTCCCATAAAAAGGAATGTACAAATCTCGTTATTTTTCGCATGATTCGAAATTACTTCCGGGGGATTGGATACAGAAGTTGGTATGTCATGCAATTCTTGCATGTTTTTTTAAATTGCATTCATAATTACGGACCCATTTTTTAATTTATTACTATTGGGAGGTCTTTTTATATTTCGTGTATTTATTTATTCTAAAAATTTTTACCGCTCCCCACCTCTAGCTGGAATTTGTCTAATAATTTGCAACCTCTTCTGGTTTTCACAATGATTTCCAAATTTTGGCGATTTTTACGATTTTTGTGGTGCCGCGATTTTTAAAAAATAATATTTGACTTCTTGGATTAACTCTACCTCTCGAATTACTCTTCCCAAAACACGAGACGTAGATACTAGTCCACAATCTAAGCCATCTGGTGCGCGTATTGTTGCTTACGCTTCGTTGCCTGTGTGGTTCACCCTTTATTATTAAGCCCAAAATTAACTACGGCTGGCTGCGCATCCACCCCGACCTCATTACTCCAAACTTTTTCTCGGAAAAAATAATACCAGAGTGGAAACAAAAATAACGGAATAAAAACCGCCTGAAACGTTACGACAGCTTGGATTTTCCAATGCACTCTGGTTACTCCATACTAATTAAACCATCACGTAAAAAAAAATTAAACCAATCAATTGTTCGTTCCATTTAGTCTGATTGTCGGGGGATGTAAGATTAACTTTCATTATTCCACGAGAAACTTCGTTAAGATGTTAGAGGAAATCCGCGATATTTCAGTTTCACCTCACATTTCTCTCCGTCTCAAAAAATTTTTATTGGATTTCCGATATTGGTCATTAAATTAAAATATTTCCAGGTTCTCGTATTTGCTTTTAGTTTCTATCTCTTCGAAAATGATAATTATATTATAACGCCATTTATTGCACTTCATTCCTCAAATTTTCCAAATGTAATTGAATTTATAATTAGATAAGAATTCTATCACAATTAGCAAAATATTTAACACTCGATTTTCCAATTACTACGTCTCTCAAAAATCTTAAGTACCTGTAAAATAATTCGCAATTAATTCACTGACAATCAAAATATTGTTTATGACTGATAACAAATATTCACGATTGTTTATAAATTCACAATAAAATATTATTATTAATTTCTGAAGATGTTGACCTTTCGGGAGCACCTCAAGCTGAAAGGAAAAAATGAAAACTCGACAGAATTGAGCGCAGACTTTGAATACTAGATTAAAAACGTCGAGTGCACCCAAGTAATGCAAACAAGTACAATCGTCAGCATTTAGCAATGATGCAGTACCCAGAACCGATTGTTCTTTAACTCTAGTTGCCTTTATTCTGCACCACTTGTAAACTCCGTTTCTCCACTTTATTCTCGCCCACGTACATCGCTTTGATGACGAGAAACTGCGATTAATTCAAGTTGAAATTTCACAGGTGAAATAATTTACTCTGGAATAAGTCACATTGAATACCTGGAAATATCATCAGAACGAATTTCAAGGGATTGGCACAATCGTTTCGTGTTTGGTAGTGCAAGAATATTTTAATAAGTTCTGTGGAGTTGCTTCAAGACTCTATACCCCACGAGGGTACATAATAATTCAGTGGTACACCTCAATATTAATCCGCCCGAAAAATTTCTCAAGATCTTTCTCTAGTTTATAATTGCCTTGTATCAGTGCCAGAATAATTTACAATACAATAGAGACATGGCTTTTCAGCTGCACATATTTTTTACGAGTTTTTGCTCTGTACTTTCAATTTATTGATAATTATGGTAATTATGACTGTTGATTCTTCCGGTTTAATTCGATTGAAAGTGCAATTAAGATTGTTTTGCCTATACGATATCAGAACTGCTTGAAATGTTGACATAATATTTTATGGTTATTAATTATTAAAGTTATCTATTAACACAGCCTATAGGAAAAATAATAATTTCTGTAAATATAGTCCAAAATATAAAATCTTGTTGAAATATCGATAATTTACTGTTGAAACTATTTGATAATTTTCTACAGATATTA